CTACAGGAAGCCCGAGGCAGAGTTGCTCTGCCCCAGGCTTCCTGGAATCAGCCGCTGATCAGTTTCAGCAGCAGCTGACTTGGGGACGCCTGGGTTTCATAAGTTGAATCTGTATGTAAGTCAGAACTGGCATCCAGATTCAGCCACGGTTAAAACTGATCAGTTTCAGCAGCGGCTGACGCCAGTTCCGACTTACATACAGATTCAACTTAAGAACAAACCTACAGTCCCGATCTTGTACGTAACCCGGGGACTGCCTGTACTCCAATTGATGCCTAATCAGCACAGCGTAGAGAGGAAGAATGACTTCTCCTGTCTTGCTCACAACACTCCTGTTAATGTATCCCAGAATCATGTTTGCATTTTTTGCAACTGTGTCACACTGTTAATTCATGTTTAACTTGTCTTCCACTATGACCTCTAAATCCCTTTCTGCAGTATTCCTTCCCATAAACCTCGTTGCGTGAGGCATAAGGGATCGGTAGGTAAAGGCTTTCCTTGCCGACCCATCTCCGTCTTGACTGACGCTTTGTGCTGACAAACAGCTGAGCCAGCACAATGCGGCGGCCATTTTTATTCTAATGAAGCGGGGGATATTTAAATCCCTGCTTCATTGACTGTGTTGGTATGTCTAATTTACATGCCTCTGGCGACAGAAGCATGTAGTCTAGACATACCCCTGGAGTGCACATGCGGCTCCGGGTACCCCAAGCCCTTACCCAGGCTGGGCAGAGGATGCAGCTGGGTGAAACACTGAAAATTTATTCATTTTTAATTCTTTTTTTATATGCGTTTATATTTTTGGGCTGCAAAAAACAGTACTGAAAAAAACAGGTTCCAACGAAAGTAAAAAGTTTGGGAAACCCTGATCTAGCAGGCTCTCTGTCCATCTTATCCATTTACCCAATCCATATTCCCTTAACTTGCTGGCAAGAATATTGTGGGTGACCGTATCAAAAGCTGTGCTAAAGCTGGCACTGGGGGCTTTGGGAGGACCAGAAACAACTTATCTGAATATTCATCATTTGCTTAATGCATATGCAAATATGCAAATGAATGTTACTGGTCCTCCAAAAGCTCACTGGTCCCCGTGTCAAAAAGTTTGGAAAACCCCTGCTTTATGCCTTTTGCTAGATTTAGCTCTTTTTGTGCCTTTGCCTTTCTGATCTTGCCCCTACATACATTTTTTATTTTTTAGAGCAAGCTGTACCCTTCTATACCAATATTTCAATCGTGTGTATTATCCCACTAAGTCTCTGTGATTCCAACTGTGTCATATTTGTATTTATTTATTAGCACTTAAAGTTCTTCTTGCTTATTCCCAATACTTCTTGCATTTGTATATCTGACCCACCTCCTAGGTCTCCATGTTTTTCACCCACCTCTGGGCTTTGGTCACCTGCCCCTGTCAAACCTAGTTTAAAGCCCTCCTCACTAGGTTAGCCAGTCTGAATCCAAACACTCTCTTCCCCTTCCTCAAAAGGTGACCCCATCCTTGCTTAACAGTCCTCCTTCTTGTAACAGCATCCCGTGGTCAAGGAAGCCAAAGCCCTCCTGAAGACACCATCTTAGCAACTAGGCATTCAATTCCAGGATGCACCTGTCTCTGCCCAGGCCCCTACCTTTGACAGGAAGGACTGAAGAGAACATCACCCATGCTCCAAACTCCTTCACCTGTACTCCCAGAGCCCTGTAGTCACTCTTGATCCACTCAAGGTCACACCTTGCAGTATCATTTGTACCCAAATGGATGAGTAGCATTCAGAGGGCCTGATAATCCTCAAAAATGCCTTCGCAATGTCTCGGATACGGGCCCCTGGCAGGCAGCATACTTCCCGAGATAATATATCAGGGCAACAGATGGGTGCATCTGTCCCCCTTAGAAGGGAGTCTCCAACCACCACTACCCTACGTTTCTTCCTTGCAATGATGGCTGCAGACCTCCCAGCTTTGGGGGGTACAAGGCTTCTCCTCTTCTGCCTCAACTCTCATATCCAGAACAGCATAACGGTTCCTCAGAACCACGCTGGGAGGGTTGGGAGCAGGGGTAGAACATTGCCTGCTGCGAGAAGTGACCAGCTGCCAGTGTCCCCGCTGAGATCAAGCCATCTCCTCCTCTACCAGTGGTGTGTCAGCCGTCTTTTGTAATGGGGTAGCTTCCTCAGCCTCAGTAGTCTCCACATGAATACTCTCCAGGAATTCCTTGTGGATTCAGATGCTCCTCAGCCTAGCCACCTCTTCCTGTAGCTCTCCCACCTGCTGCCTGAGAGATTCCAACAGCAGGCACCTGTCACATTGGATGGTCTCCCCAACCTGGATATCAGTGAGTGGGAATTGCAAGCCACAGTCCCTGCAAAACCACACCAGGATCTGGGTAGAGGCATCCATGGTCAGGAGGTCTGCCTGGCTACAGACGCAGGCGGAGGAGTCAGAAATAGTTTGGGCATAGGGTCTTCCTAAGCATATTAGGACACCCTCTGTCAAACTCTCTCTCAATCTCCTGTCTGCTTCGCTTCACTTGTCACTCTACTTCTGGCTTTTAAAGCCTGCGCACCTCGGTCAGGCCTACTCCCTTGTTAGCCATACAAGGGGAGGCTGATCCCAAGGCTGAATGAGGCCTTGATAAAAATGGACTTGAACTAACAGCTCTGAAGAGTCTCAATTTAATTTTGGCAGCATCTGACCAGTTTAGAAAATGGCAAATGGTCTGAAGCTGAATACTAAAACAAAATTATATTCTAAGCTCAACCTACATAGCAGATCTATTCATATTTAAGAATCTCTAAAACAGAACTGACCCATATACAGGCAGTCCCCGGGTTACATGGATCCGACTTACATCGGATCCCTACTTACAAACGGGGTGAGGCAACCCCGCTCTAGCTGCTTCCCCTCAGCAGAGTAGGGAGATGCGAAGCTACCGCCCCTCCCCAGTAGACCAGGGAGATGCGGAGCGGCTTTTCTCAGCAGACACCTCAGCTTGAGAATAAAGGACTGAGGGAAGTGAGGTGTGGGAGAATAAAACTGAGCTCTGGAGAAATGTTTGGCTAGAGTTTCCCCTACAATATGTACCAGTTCCGACTTACATACAAATTCAACTTAAGAACAAACCTACAGTCCCTATCTTGTAAGTAACCCAGGGACTGCCTGTACTCAGAAGCAGCTATGAATTGAACTAATGCAAAACTGTATAGACACATTTTGTTGTTTACTGAAAATCAGATAGTTAGTCCTAAGAACTGCATGTCTGAATCAGATGTTGGTCTTGGAATCTGGACTGACTGACATCAACAAGACAGAAAATCATGAATTCCTCTTTATCTTGACAAATTGGGAAAACTGGGGGAACTGGCTACTAGGGAAAAAGAGTACTTACCACTCGGCGGCTTAGGTCGTGGAGGAACGCTTTTCTTCGGTGGGAGAGCTGGAGTGTCTGTCTTACTTTTAAAAGGGTCATCTGAGAATCCTATCCCTCCAAAAGAGGAGGTGAAAGGGTCTGACGCTGTGGGCTATGAGATAAAGGAAAGGTAAACATATGCAGATTGTAAAGATGACTTGTTAACTTTATAGAAAATAACTGAAAATTATCAACTCCTGTTTGAATTAACTCAGAAAAATGATGAGTAAAATTCACAAAAGAACCTTAGTGACTAGAGAGTCTGAGTTCCATTTTCAAAAGCACCTAAGTTTCATAAGAGCCTAAATCACACTAACTGTTATTGATAGACTTCGACTTCTAAGTCACCTAAGCACTTTTTACAATTTTTATCCCTAGAAAATTTTAACGAGAAAGGGCACCTGGGGAATAATAAGGAAAATGAAAGAGGTAAAATGGTATTTTAGACCTATTTATATCTTACCCCTCAGTAACTAATCTGATATCTGAGTACAGGATGTAGTAAAATGTACTCAGTGTGTACACATCTACTGAAAATTTCGTACACAAAAAAAGACTTTCACAACTGTCACATCAGAGCTTTTATAAACCATTTATTTTATATTCATATACATACACATATGTTCCTAAGAGCGTGTGTATACAAAGAGTTAATACATGCAAGTAGGGGTATAAATCTATTGTTCGTTTACTTACTTCACACTTATAGATACTCCTACCAGAACAAGAGATAAGAACATAAGAATGGCCATACTGGGTCAGACCAAAGGTCCAGCTACTATCCCAGTATCCTGTATTTCCAACAGATACCCCCAGAGGGAGTGAACAGAACAGGCAATCATCACGTGATTCCTCTCCTGTCATCCATTTCCAGCCTCAGACAAACAGAGGCTAAGGACACCATTCCTACCCATCCTGGCTAATAGTCATTGAAGGACCTAACCTCCATGAATTTATCTAGTTCTTTTTCTTAAAGTCCTGGCCTTCACAACATCCTCTGTCAAGGAGTTCCATAGGTTGACTAAGTGCTGCATGAAGAAAAACTTCCTTTTGTTTGTTTTAAACCTGCTACTTATTAATTTCATTTGGGGACCCCTAGTTCTTATGTTATGGGAACAAGTAAATAAGTCACAGATATACCTCCATTGCTACAATGATCAACACATCCTACAACACAGCTTCATGATCCATGAACCTATATGAGCCTATCACAAGATATGGTGTACCTCATCCGGTGCACTAAATGCCTCAACAACTATGTGGGAGAAACAAGACAATCAATGTGCTCATGAACAAACTCCCACAGGAAAATGATAAAAGACAAAGGCACCCTATTGTCTGTGGGTGAACACTTTTCATAAATTGATCACTTAATATCTGACCTATCAGTTCGTATCCTGAAAGGAACCATGTATTACAGTTTCAAAAAATGAGTCTGGGAGCAACATTCATTACTCTGATAGATTCTAAAAATCATGGACTAAACAGTGACACCTGATTTATGGCATATTACAAAAACCAGTTATCCACCTTTTCTTAAATGTTCTTTGAGAAGTCCAATCCATTGTAGATGTGCATGTGCCCATGAGCATAGTCACTGGAGATTTTTGTCTTAGCAGTATCTGTAAGGCTGGCTACCATCACCTTGAGTGCCTCACTTGTGCACTTGTATATTAGGCACTGCTGGCCCTAGATCACCCCTCAGTTCCTTCTTGCCGACAACTGACAGAGGGGCAAGAGGATGGGCAATGGAATGGACAGGAATACCACATCTTGAAGAACAACAGTTATGAAGAGGTGGGCCACCATTTTTCTTCTTCAGGAGATTGCTCATGTCAGTTTCATTATAGGTGACTCACAAGCAGAATCTTTGGAGGTGGGCTGGAAGTTCACAGATTCGCAGATTGTAGCACTCCTCTGCTGAAGCCAGCATCTTCTCCAGCTTGCTAGCTCTGTAACTACTAATATGATGCGAACATGTGGATGGATGACCAGGTTATGGCCTGACAGATTTGTTGGATAGGCACCTGTGTCAGGAAGGTTGCCGATGACACCGCTGCTCTAGTTTGAGTGCAATGTTAGATTTGCTGGCGAGGTACCTTCATCAGCTCATAGCAGTAATGGATGCAAACTGTGATCTAGGATGAGATCCTCTGAGCGGACACAGCGTGACCATTCATTCTATTCACAATGGACGGCTACACTGACGTAAGGAATAGCTTTGTTCTGTCTTTCTATACAGAAAGCCAGTGCCTGCCTGATATCAAGGATATGAGCCTCCTGTTCCTCATGTGATGCATGGGGCTTCTGGAAAAGGACAGGTAAAAATACATCCTGGCTAGTATGAAACTGGGAAGCAATCAGGTCACAGATGAACTTTGTCCTTGAAGATGACAGCACAAGGGGTTCCAAAGTGAGTGCACTCATCTCTGACACTCTACAGACTGACTTGGAGTACTGCGTCCAATTCTGGGGCCCCCATTACAGAAAGGATGGAGATGCATTGGAGAGGGTCTAGTGGAGGGCAATGAAAATGATTAGGGAGTTGGAGCACATGACTTACAAGGAGAGGCTGAAGGATTTGATAGCAGCCTCTAAGCCCCTGACGTGGGGTTCCAAAGAGGATGGAGAGAGGCTGTTCTCAGTGATAACAGATGGCAGAACAAGGAGCAATGGTCTCAAGTTGCAATGGAGGAAGATTGGATATTATGAAAAACTATTTCACTAGGCGGGTGGTGAAGCACTGCAATGGGTTACCTAGGGAGGTGGTGGAATCTCCATCCCTAGAGGTTTTAAGTCCTGGCTTGACAAAGCCTTTCTAGGATGATTTAGTTGGGGGTTGGTCCTGCTTTGGACAGGGGTTTGGACTCAATGACCTCCTGAGGTCTCTTCCAACCCTCGGAATCTATGAGCCAGGACAGACCAAGATTTAAGTCCCCGGGGAGAACAGTTCCTGTATGTGTGGCTAGAGGCCCTTTCAAGAAACGTGCTGTCATGGGATAGGTGAAGAGGGACCTAGTATGGACTGGGGGATGTAGCACTGGTGGACCTTGATGAAAGAAAAGGGACAACCCTTGAAACGTCTGATGCAGTGAATAATCCAGGATGTCCTGCAGTGAGACTCAAGGGCCCCAATCCAAGTCCTAATAGTCAAAAGTTTTCCACTTTGCCAGGTGTATTCAAAACTTCTCCACTTTACCTGATCTAGGGTTTCCTGCTGCTGAGCAAAACAAATGCAAGCTGAAATAGCTCCTTCATCCGCACTCAAACACATAGGGGCCAAGCCATCAGGTGCAGCACCGCTAAGTGGGGATGCCGCAGTTTGCTATGGTTGTGTGACAGCAGATCTGGTTGAAGAGGCAGCAGAAGGGGAGTGGCTACTAACAGGACCAACAGAATGTCAAGCCAGTGCTGATGCTGCCACACAAATGACTCTTGCTCTGTCCTACTTGACTTTCACCAGGACCCTGTGAATCAACGGCACCTAAGTTTCTGCTGAGTTGCATGGCAACACTGCTTTCCATTAGACACCGCGCAGAAGCTCAGGGCTGCAGTGGTGAAAATGCCTCCCTTGAAGCCCCATAGTAGCTATGCCAGTGGGGGCAGCGCCCCTCTGCACTGATCCAAAAACAGAGCTGCTGCAGCTGGGGAAGACTGACCCCTTTCTGCTGGTCCTAGGAGCGAATTGTCGCAGGCAGGAGAAAGGAGCCCCTGCTCACCATACCCAGTGTGCTGCCGCTGGTTATGGCCAGCACAGCAGGTCCAGCTCCTAGGCAGGGGACTATGGAGCTCCATGGAGCCTCTACCCTGCTGGCGAGAGCAGCATGTGCAACGCAGCATGGAGCCTTATGCCCCTTTGGAGCAAGACCTTCTGGTCGCTTCTCGGTATAGCACAGTGCCCCAGGACAGGCAGGCCCCAGGCAGCCTTGCCTTAGTGCCACTGCCCAGGAGCCTGAGCCCTAACCCCCTACCTCACCCTAGACCCTGCCAACCTAGAGCCACCTCCTATTATTTCTGGCCTCATCCCAAAGTCCACACCCCAGCCCAGAGCCTGTGCCCCCTCCTGCACCCCAAACACCTCATTCCCAGACCCATCTCAGAGCCTTCACCCCCAGGCAGATCCCTTGCACCCAACCCTCTGTCCCACTCCTCAATCCCAGCCCTCCTTAGAACCCATACCCTTAGCTGGAGCCCTCAACTCCTGAACCCCAACCCTCTGCCCCAGGCCTAAACCCCTTCCAACACTCAGAATCCCTTGGCCCCAATCCCACAACATGAATTTTGTTATGTGCACCAATAGAAAGGTGATGAGTTTCAAATTACTCTACACTGGAGTACATAACAAAAATTCATTTTACTCAGAGATGGGAAAAATTAGAAGGAACACTGCATTGGTAGAAAGACATATGAACGCTGTCCAAGGAATAAGGAAGTTGTCCAAAAGGGAACCTTTGTGCAGATGCTGGTTGAAGCAAAACTCGTGGCACTTCCCAAGTGGACCTGTTTGTATCTAGTCAGATTAGGAAGTCACCTACCTTTGGAAAATTACCTCTACCATCTCCAGCTGGAGGGACCACTTCTGAAGAGATGAGAAAGTTCTGTTGAGATGATCTACAAAAATGTTCTTGGAGCCAGACAGGTGGGCAGTGATCAGATTAATAGCATGCAACACACAGAAATCCCAAAAAGTTGGGCACCTCCTGACGAAAGGGGAGAATACAGCCCCTCCCTATCTGTTGATGTAGTACATCACACCGGTCTTGCGTGTCAGGACCTGCAAACCTTGTGTCTCAGGAGGGGTAAGGGCAAGTGAACCATTCGATAGGCCAGGTGAACCACTCTGAGTTCCCTGACATTGATGCAAAGGGCTAGATCATCCTATACCCACCGGTCTTGGATGCTCAGGTTACCCAGGTGGGCTCCCCAGCCAGACTGAAGACGCTGGAGACCAGGGTCAGTGACAAGGACAGAGTTCTGAAGTGAAACCCCTGCAGCACCAACGTGGAGTCCAATCACCAACCCAGGGATGAAAAGATGGGTCTTGACACAGTAATCACTGCCGCTGTCCTAGTGCCACCAATGCTGGCTGGCATGCCCAATCTTGCCTGAATT